CTCCAGAAAGCAGGAATAGAAGGAACATACCTCAACATAATAAAAGCTATATATGACAAACCCACAGCAAGCATCACCCTCAATGGTGAAAAATTGAAAGCATTTCCCCTGAAATCAGGAACAAGACAAGGGTGCCCACTCTCACCACTACTATTCAACATAGTTTTGGAAGTTTTGGCCACAGCAATCAGAGCAGAAAAAGAAATAAAAGGAATCCAGATAGGAAAAGAAGAAGTGAAACTCTCGCTGTTTGCAGATGACATGATCCTCTACATAGAAAATCCTAAAGACTCTACCAGAAAATTACTAGAGCTAATCAACGAATACAGTAAAGTTGCAGGATATAAAATTAACACACAGAAATCTCTTCCATTCCTATACACTAACAATGAGAAAACAGAAAGAGAAATTAAGGAAACAATACCATTCACCATTGCAACAAAAAGAATAAAATACTTAGGAGTATATCTACCTAAAGAAACAAAAGACCTATACATAGAAAACTATAAAACACTGATGAAAGAAATCAAAGAGGACACAAACAGATGGAGAAATATACCGTGTTCATGGATTGGAAGAATCAATATTGTCAAAATGGCTATACTACCCAAAGCAATCTACAGATTCAATGCAATCCCTATCAAACTACCAACGGTATTTTTCACAGAACTAGAACAAATAATTTCACAATTTGTATGGAAATACAAAAAACCTCGAATAGCCAAAGTAATCCTGAGAAAGAAGAATGGAACTGGAGGAATCAATCTGCCTGACTTCAGACTATACTACAAAGCCACAGTCATCAAGACAGTATGGTACTGGCACAAAGACAGAAATATAGATCAATGGAACAGAATAGAAAGCCCAGAGATAAATCCACGAACCTATGGTCACCTTATCTTTGACAAAGGAGGCAAGGATATACAATGGAAAAAAGACAACCTCTTTAACAAGTGGTGCTGGGAAAACTGGTCAACCACCTGTAAAAGAATGAAACTAGAACACTTTCTAACACCATACACAAAAATAAACTCAAAATGGATTAAAGATCTAAATGTAAGACCAGAAACTATAAAACTCCTAGAGGAGAACATAGGCAAAACACTCTCCAACATAAATCACAGCAGGATCCTCTATGACCCACATCCCAGAATTTTAGAAATAAAAGCAAAAATAAACAAATGGGACCTAATGAAACTTAAAAGCTTTTGCACAACAAAGGAAACTATAAGCAAGGTGAAAAGACAGCCCTCAGATTGGGAGAAAATAATAGCAAATGAAGCAACAGACAAAGGATTAATCTCAAAAATATACAAGCAACTCCTCCAGCTCAACTCCAGAAAAATAAATGACCCAATCAAAAAATGGGCCAAAGAACTGAACAGACATTTCTCCAAGGAAGACATACAGATGGCTAACAAACACATGAAAAGATGCTCAACATCACTCATTATCAGAGAAATGCAAATCAAAACCACATTGAGGTACCATTACACGCCAGTCAGGATGGCTGCTATCCAAAAGTCTACAAGCAATAAATGCTGGAGAGGGTGTGGAGAAAAGGGAACCCTCTTACACTGTTGGTGGGAATGCAAATTAGTACAGCCACTATGGAAAACAGTGTGGAGATTTCTTAAAAAGCTGGAAATAGAACTGCCATATGACCCAGCAATCCCACTTCTGGGCATACACACCGAGGAAACCAGATCTGAAAGAGACACATGCACCCCAATGTTCATCGCAGCACTGTTTATAATAGCCAGGACATGGAAGCAACCTAGATGCCCATCAGCAGACGAATGGATGAGGAAGCTGTGGTACATATACACCATGGAATATTACTCAGCCATTAAAAAGAATTCATTTGAATCAGTTCTAATGAGATGGATGAAACTGGAGCCCATTATACAGAGCGAAGTAAGCCAGAAAGATAAAGACCATTACAGTATACTAACACATATATATGGAATTTAGAAAGATGGTAACGATAACCCTATATGCAAAACAGAAAAAGAGACTCCGATGTATAGAACAGACTTGTGGACTCTGGGAGAAGGCGAGGGTGGGATGTTTCAAGAGAACAGCATCGAAACACGTATATTATCTAGGGTGAAACAGACCACCAGCCCAGGTTGGGTGCATGAGACAAGTGCTCGGGCCTGGTGCACTGGGAAGACCCAGAGGGATCGGGTGGAGAGGGAGGTGGGAGGGGGGACCGGGATGGGGAATACATGTAAATCCATGGCTAATTCATTTCAATGTATGACAAAACCCACTGCAATGATGTAAAGTAATTAGCCTCCAACTAATAAAAATAAATGGAAAAAAAAAAAAAAACAGAAGACAGAAAAAAAAAAAAAAAAAGAAGCAGCTTTTTTCTTTCTGTTAGTTCCAGCAAAGGACTGTTACTTGAGATAAGATGCTAGAAAGGATTAAGTACATTTAATCCTAGCCAAGCATCTTCAGGAGGCAGAAACAGTAGTAGGTTACAGTCGGTGTAAACAAGCAAGACCTGTTTAGTAAGACTAAAACCTGTATTAAGAATTTGAGCCTAATTTTTAAAAAATCCTTGCATTTTATGGAAATGTTTCTTTGTGTAAAACATCCTGGCAAGGATAGCTTCTCCTCTTTTTTTTATTTTCAATGTAGAATCCATCACAATTGGTTTATCCAACAGGTTATATTTAAAAGTGAAAGTTTAGTTCTCTATCACTAAGCCACTATTATTAGAAAAAGCAAAATGCCCCAATGTTAAATTTAACAACCCTAATTCTTAAAGGCCTTAGAACAGCGCTGTCCAATAAAATAGCCCATAAGCTACATGTGGCTACTGAGCTCTTAAAGTTTGGCTAATCCAAACTGAAATGTGCTATAAAATCACACACTAGATTCTTTTTTTTTTTTTTTTAATTTATTTATTTATTTATTTATTTTTTATCACAACCATAGTGTATCTTTTTTTTTTTTTTTTAACATGTATTCCCCATCCCGGTCCCCCCTCCCACCTCCCTCTCCACCCAATCCCTCTGGGTCTTCCCAGTGCACCAGGCCCGAGCACTTGTCTCATGCACCCAACCTGGGCTGGTGAACTGTTTCACCCTAGATAATATACATGTTTCAATGCTGTTCTCTTGAAACATCCCACCCTCGCCTTCTCCCAGAGTCCACAAGTCTGTTCTATACATCGGAGTCTCTTTTTCTGTTTTGCATATAGGGTTATCGTTACCATCTTTCTAAATTCCATATATATGTGTTAGTATACTGTAATGGTCTTTATCTTTCTGGCTTACTTCGCTCTGTATAATGGGCTCCAGTTTCATCCATCTCATTAGAACTGATTCAAATGAATTCTTTTTAATGGCTGAGTAATATTCCATGGTGTATATGTACCACAGCTTCCTCATCCATTCGTCTGCTGATGGGCATCTAGGTTGCTTCCATGTCCTGGCTATTATAAACAGTGCTGCGATGAACATTGCGGTACACGTGTCTCTTTCAGATCTGGTTTCCTCGGAAAATCACACACTAGATTCTTATGATTTAGTATGAAAATTATAAAAAGATCTTATGTAAAAATGTAAACTATTACAATAATTTTTATATTGATTACACTATGAAATATGTTATGGGTATATTGGACTAAATAAATATGTTATTAAAGTTAATTTCCCCCATTTCTTTTGACTTTATTATGTAGGTTTGCTGTACACAATACATTGAATTTCATATGTCCCTGTGCACATTTTATTAGTATAAAATTATTCATCGTTTGCGAGTTCTCTAGTGGTCCAAAGCTTAGGATTTCCAGCTTTCACTGCCGTAGCTAGAGATTCAATCCCCTGATCTGGAACTAAGATTCCACAGGATTCATGGTTTGGTCAAAAAAAATTTTCTTGTATATAAGAAATTCAAATTTTAACTGGGTGTCCTACACTTTTACCTGCTAGATCTGGTAACTTAATTAATATGACTACTAGAAAACTTTAAATTACAAATGTAGCTACATATTCTATTGGACAGTGAAGCTTTAGAATCACGTAGTTGCTTTTATTTTTATTTTATTTTTTTTTTTACGTAGTTGCTTTTAAAAATTACCCTTCAACTCTTAACTCTGCAGAAATAACTGATCTGAGGAACATTTAATCCTAGACTGAGATCCTCAATAACCCTTAAGTTAAAATTTTACATTTGCTTGAACAAGTTAAAGGACAACAAAAAGGGCTTGTTACAGACCACACTGTGAAAAGGGCATGTGGATTAGAATTAAGTGCTTGTTCCCAGTCTCTCCACTGGGATAGTTAACGGTTCCAGTTTCAAAATAATCACGGTCTCTTTTACAGAAATGGGCTGTGTTAAGGGCATATACTAACTACGAGACCCTGGGCTAGTCACCTACCCCTTTAGGCCTCTGTAAAAGAAGGAGTCGGGGGAAGGGACGCTGAAGTATTTTTAATACCTGAGCCTAGCTGCCGGCTCACCCACTCGGGCGCTCCCCGGGCTCCGCGCTGGGCCAGCAAGCTTGGCCTCAGACGCCGACAAGGTCACAAGTCTCACGGCCTTCCTCAGCCCAGCCAGGGCTCCTTCGGCTGTAACCTCAGGGCTTGGCCCACGGAGGCCAGCGGAGACCGAGCGCGCCCAGGGGCAGCGACCAGCCGGAGCTCCAGGTGCGCCCGGCGGCCCGGGCCCGCCCCCCGCCGTCACGCGCGGTCCAGCTCCACCCACGTCGGCGCCGCACCACCGGCGGGCTGGGCGGCTCAGGCCCAGAGCCCGCCCCGGCCTCGCGCGCTATGTAAGGCCAGTCGCTTCGGCCGCGGCAGCGGAAGGAGCTTGCGAACCTGTTCAGTCAAAGGACAGTCCCCAAGCTCCGACCCTTGCTCGGCCCCGCTGTGGGGATCCGCCGCGCACGCGCGCACGCTCGCTACGCTCCGCCCCCGCGCGCCGCCGCGTCCTCCGACCCCGGGCCGCGGGCAGCGCGCCGCGCACCGGCAGCTGAAGTCGGCATGCAGGACTACGACGAAGTGACCGCCTTCCTGGGCGAGTGGGGGCCCTTTCAGCGCCTCATCTTCTTCCTGCTCAGCGCCAGCATCATCCCCAACGGCTTCAATGGCCTATCGTCCATGTTCTTTACGGCGACCCCGGAACACCACTGCCGGGTGCCGGACACCGCGAACCTGAGCAGCGCGTGGCGCAACCACAGTGTCCCGGTGCGGCTGCAGGACGGCCGCGAGGTGCTTCAGAGCTGCCGCCGCTACCGACTCGCTACGATCGTCAACTTCTCGGCGCTCGGGCTGGAGCCGGGGCTCGATGTGGACCTGGAGCAGCTGGAGCAGGAGGGCTGCCTGGATGGCTGGGAGTTCAGCCAGGACATCTACCTGTCCACCATCGTCACCGAGGTGGGTACCAGCTCCGCGCCCAGGGCCTGAGACCTAGGCGTAGGCAGAACCTTCACTGTCTTTAAAGTCGCGTACTCCACCCGCCAAGGTGCGTGCTGGATGCTGTCACTCCCTCTCCGCGGACTCACTACATACTGGTGATCCTGGACATCCTCCAGCCAGGTGGCTCTGGAGCACTTTTCGTGGTGACTTCCAGAGAGATCATGGCCATCGCAGCACGGTTCTCAGTCTGGCCACCCATCCTTGTTAGCTACCTTGGAGAGGAAGTCAAGAAGGCCCTGGCAATTCCTTGTAAATACTCCAAGATACTGAGTAGTCAAAGTCATTCCTCATAACAAAAATTGTTTACTTTTTACCCATGGTCAGTTATCATTAGTCTTTTAGGATTCTGTGCATCTGAAGATCCACTTGGAGTGACTTCTTAACCTGGAATGTTTTAGGGTATAAATGTCTTTAGCCAGATTTAGTTAAAGCATACAGCCTTAGTTCATCGGAAGCAGGGGAAAAACCTTTCTCATTCCCCAGCCCCTTGGATTTTCCTTTTGGGCGGCCTTTTCTATCCCTGGTGACCTTGTAGTCATTAAAGCTGGATGTATGATGTGATATTTATGGATGCATGTAGTTCTGCTTTGCATCTTACTCCAGCTCTGGCACTCTGACTCTGTGTAGTCTCAGCAGAACTGAGCAAGCAGGACATTAAAAAGAGCACTTCTTGGTAGACCCTTGGGTGCCCAGGTTCACTGGGTGTCAGGAACAGGGGTTTGAGGAGTAGGGAAGGCTTCTTGGAGAAGGAGGCTTGTCGATGAGTCTGGGGTGTATAGATCAACAGAGACAAAGTCTGGAACATCAAGAAACAACCTGGCATAAGGTCAGAATTCACAGGGAAGAGGCTGAAAGGAATGGTCCATAGTTTCTGGTGTGGCATCAAACCCTACTGGAGCCGCAAGGAGGCTTACATGGAGACTGTGTGTGTGTGTTGCTTCTTCGGGTTGTCACCTTTCAAGGTAGTCTGAGTGCTGCCACAACAAACTTGTGTGTGTGTGTTGTTTTTTGTATATTTGGACATTTGATGTCCCCAGAATCTGTGCCTCCTTAGTCCACATGTGTGTAGTAGGACTGTGAGAAGAGCCCCACTGGGATCTCAGCAAGCGACACCATTCCAGTGTCCTCAGGCATTGCTGCTTGAGAGAACAGGCACTGCTTGGAGGTAGTTGACTGTGATCTGTGGCTGAAGAGGGCACGGAGCATTAAAACCTCCAGTCATCACAAATCCTTGATCCTAGCCTCCCAAGTGAGTCTGTCACCCTCCTGGAAGCCAGTGAGCATTGTGAAAGTAGAGGCTGTCCCTCAGATTGCAGGCAAAGACCACGGAGGGGAAGCCATACTCCATGACTTAGAAGTCCCTGCAAATTCTGCATCTGGCTGCCTGCAGAAGAAGGCAGTGACGTCAGAAGCAGCTCGTGGCATTTCTTAAGACTTTGCCCTAACCCCTAATGTTTCTGACTTACTCGAATCATTTGCTCTTTCTTTGCTGCCCCCATCCTACCTTTGGCTGAGAGCAGTGATGGCATTGATGAGCTCCCAAAGGCAGACTGTTCCAGAAGGGTCCTTGAGCTATGTTGCTACCAATATCAGCCTTTCCTTTTATATGTTTCAGCTGTTTCTTTAGCTGTCTAAACAGTTTCGTAAGAGCTCTGTGCCCTTTCACCTACTTACAGCTTGTCAGTGTTTGCAGGGAGGGAAGATTAATAACATTACTTAGCTCTTTGTTTGAGGATGCTGGTATGCCAGACTATTAGGTTCAAGGCTGCTCATTCTCCTCTGGTGAACAGTCACTGTTGGAAGCTGTTACATTAACATTCTGATGGCTCCATTTTTCTAAGGCCCCTTTTCTTTCAGTCAGACCTGCCGGCTGACCACTGCATCTAGTCCTGTGCCTGTTAAATGTCTTCAAGCCGGCCCTCTGCCCCAAATCATGCCTAGAGGTATTTGTAAGTATGCTGGTATGGAATTCCTATTCATGTTTTTCAGCAGAAGATGAAAACCCCCAGTTTCATATTTGATTTTTTTTTTCTTTGTTGGCGTTGACGAGCACACACATAGTACTAAACTTTGTGGTGCACTTATATCTTTCAAGTCCTGACATTGATGCTGGATGCAGATTGAGTGCTCAGGAACATTTTTGTTGAAAGGATTAATGAATCATTTTGAAATCTTCTCCACCGTGGGAGAACTGAAGAAGAAAAGGACAGGTTTAACTCATAGAAGAGAAACTCAGGGGTGGTCAAAAATCATTAAGTGGAATATTTCAAAGTAAACATAATCCCCCACTCCAGAGACTGGTGCTTGTGCCTGTGTGGATCTGCAACAAGGTGCTGGGAGTGGCAGAAAGGAGGGGACACTGTTTATGAGGTGAAAGAGGTTGTTCTCCCATGTTTCTGGAATAGGTTAGTGGTTCGGGAGCTTCTAGGCTGAGCCCTTCTGTAGCCCTCAGTCACCCCAGGGGCGCTGGGGCATCGGCCGCTCCATTGTGCAGTGGAGCCACTCCAATCCCTCTATGTTCCTTGGCCCAGCACCGCCTCCTTCTCTGGGAGCATGGGTGATTTTTCAGGCTGCCTGGGTCACCTGCCTTTTGGTGTTGCCATAGCACAGCCTGTGGCTGTAGAGTTTTCCTTTGGAAATGTCTAGGTACTCCGGCACTCATGAGTTAGGGTCTCTTCAGCCAAAAATCCAGCAGTTCTCTGTGGCCCCTTGCCCCTTGCCAGTCTCTGCTTCCCAGAAGCCCCCTGTCCCGGCCCTTGGCAGCACTCTTACTCACTCCCTGTTGTCCTGGAAAGCCTCTTTTTGTTGACCAGCTTTTCCATCAGCCTTATCTCATAAGTGTATAGTCTTAGAAAATAGGAGAGCACCCACTGTTATCTCCACATCCACCTAAAGAAAAGGCTACATCAACTGGGGAGGCAGGCCCCGGGCTGACTCTAGGGTGGGGAGACCAAAGAGACCCGGAGCCAGTGCCTCACTGCTCTGCCTTTCTGACTCCCCTCACTCTAGGGAAGTGTCGACCCTTTTCCCTGCCCCTGCAGCTCATGGCAAATCCGCGAGGGCCCCTGTGTACATACAGTCACATCAGACCCATCTGACCATGAGCGGTCAGACTGAGACTCTAGCTAGCTGAGAACCAACACCCTGGGTCAAAGTTCTACAGTTGACACAGAGAAGGGATGAGGGAGAAAGGAAAATAATCTGTTCTTGAGAATGAAGTTCAGGGTTCATCTGGGCTTTGGGCAGCTAAACCCAAGGACGAAACCCAAGGGATAGTATGGTTTGGAAGGTTAACAGTCCTTTATCCATCAAGTCACTCACTCACCTAGGTATCAAACAGGTACTGAGTCTCTCTGCTGCAGGGCTCTGCCAGGCTTTTAGAGGATGTGGTTGCAAATTCTTCTCCTTGCCCTGACAGCCTTGGGTCAAGGATTCACCATTAACTGCAACAGGAGGCAGGATGAAATGTGTGTAGGACTGCATGGCCTTCAGTAACAGGTAGTGCTTACCAGTGTGTTTGACCACTGATGTGGTCAGGCTGGGTACATCTCAGGGAAGAGCTTCTGCCCTGTGGGCACAGGCTCTATCACTGTTTTCTTCCAGTTAACTCACAGGTAAGAACATTTAGTTCCAGGGAACTACATCATCTCTGTACTTCCCGTAACTGAGAAGTAGCACCAATTACATACTGCGTTCAAGAGACACAGTTCTGTTTCTTTTTAAAAATTTAAACAGCTTTATTGAGGTATAAATTACATAAAACAAACTGTGCCTAACTATAGTATGTAATTTTAAAAGCTTTATATATACATAAGCTATCTCCAAGAAGCTATCGCCACTCGAAAGGCACATTTCTAACCAGAAAGGGTAGCAAGCCTAGGCCCCTTGCCAGGGTTACTGTCAGATTTTTTTTTTTTCCCCTCAGTTTGCTCCTGCTTTTATAGCTCACCCAGCTGAGGGGTAATGATGCTAGGCTCATGACATAAATCTTAAGCCTACACATTTAGTTTTAAGGTTAATACCTATTATCATCAGCCAGTACAGTTCATCCTTCATACCAGGTGGCTTCTTCAGTGAGCAGATCTGTAGCTGCCTTAGTCACGGCTGCCAAGCCAGGAACTCAGTAGAGAAATACTAGATTATTTTTGCTGTAAAGACAACAAACGTTGGGTCATAACCTGGACTCTATGGGCCTCTCATCCCACTCCTCCTCAGGGGGGTCAGGCCAAATCCTGGAGCCTGCTACAGTCCATCTGGTGGTTGCCAGGTGGGTAGGTTGGGTTGGCTGGGTGGAACCTAGTCTGTGCTTGCCCTTCTGTTCATTTTTTGAAACCTAGTACCTTTCCTGACCCTATATACAGGCCCCTTTGGCCAGTAGGAAGGAACTGTTAACCCATGCTTGCTTTTGGAGGGCCCAGAGCCAGGCCATGAGAATTGTTAAGAAATGTCGGTAGTAGATGGAGAGCCCAGTTACTTAAGGTAGTTACACGCTTGCCCAGAGTAAGGACACTGAACCAAGCAGTGGGGTTGAGGCTGCTGGAGCTGGAGAGATGCTCTGGGGATCCACATGAGGAGCACTACAGTCACCTCATCTCCTGCAGAGCATTGTTTGACCTGGTTTCAGGTAGCATCTGGCCTTGCCAGTCGAGAAGTCCCTAGAAGCCTATACTGGGAGACCCGACATGAGGTGGGGGTTAGAGGTTCCACTCCAGAACTCATTGAAAAAGCCCCTCTGGACTTCTAGTCTGGCTCAGCTATATCAGGCCCCAGCTCTCATGAGATACCTATTGAGAAGCAGCTATTGACTCTATTCAGTCTTTTTTAAAATCTCTTGTCACTACAAAAATAGTGCCTGCTAGCTGGGAATAGATCCCATCATATTCAGTTGTGGCCATAACCATAATCTGGCCCGAAGCTCTAACACCCAGAGGCTGGCACCCCCTCACTGAGTCCCTCAGCTCTAACTCCCCGCCACTCCTATCCTGACTTCAGCAGCCGTGTCTGGATGGCAGCTGCCTTAGGAGCACACACCCTCCTAGAAGGAAGATGGTGTCAGGGTGCTGGCACCTCTGAGACTGCAGAGATGAGAAGGCTGCCGTTGCCTGAACGTTTGGGCCTTAGTGCTCCTTGTCCCCTGCTAGTCTGGGCTTCCTCTAGACTTTAGAGTTGGTGACCCCCAACTCTTCCCTGGAGTGGGGATCACCACCCATTCTCAGTCCATCCAAGGCACAGGCTTGCTTCCGAGTGGTGAGCCAGCTTGCGGCTTAGTGATCCTTATCATCTTCTGCAGGGGTTCTTGATCCATCCTGAGGGCTGCCCTCCTACCCATTCTGAGGTGCCTGGAGGCTTTCTGCATGCACTGCCCAGCAGGGCTGAGAAGCAGACTTGTTTTTCCCTCTGACCTTGACCTGGAAGAGATGCTTTCTTCTTGGAAGCCACGCACTCCCCAGGAGCCAACAGGATCCATGGAGGACAGGCCTGTAGCCTGTCACCGGACAAGCAAGGGGCTGAATTCCCTGGAAGGTGGCCTTCTTGGTTACTAGAGAGCACCATCTCTCTGTTCTGGGAAACATTTTTCTGGGAACCAGCAAACTTCCTATTTTGGTTTCTCATCCTTCTCTTGGCCCTTGTTAGGCTGGAGCAATCTCATGTGTGAGTGTTCAGTGCTTCTCCGTGCCCGCAGATCTCTTCCTATGCCAACTATGGTTGCAGCTCTATACCAGGTTCCAGGAACCTCAAGCACTGTAACCTGTTCCCTCCCCCAATCACTGTTTCATAAATGGGGAGATTAAGGCAAGATGGGGTTGGTAGCTAGTTAACAGAGTAGAAGCTACAACCCAGCTTCTTGGCTCCCAGCTCAGAGCTCTTGGCTGTAATCGGGCCTTACATTGGCACAGTATCAGGGATAACAGCTCTAAATGTCAGCAGAAGAAGCCAGGGGTCATTGGCCCAGAGTCAGGACCTGAGCAGAGCTGAAGGAACAGATCCAGAAGGTGCATACTAGGCCTTCTGGCTGCATTTCCTTGCTGGATGCCTTGACCCTTGGAGCTGCAGAGCCCTGCTCCAGAAACACTCATGCCATCCCTGCCAATGGCCTGAACCCCACTGAGAGGTTGCCTACTCCACCCACAGTCCCAGCCTCAGCCCAGATCCTTAGAAGTGACCATATTAAGCCTTGCCCTTCCTCCTGGGTTGGCACGTGGGCAGACTACCTACTCCCTGCCTGTCTCCCCTCCTGAAACTGATAAGAAAACAGTGAGGCTAAAAGCTGTGAAAAACAAGATGGCCAGTCTCCCCATTGAGGGGAAACCTGTGCCATGCCTTGCTGCCTGATGGGCCATCACTTGCCTTAGTGAGCTCACACACCCTTGCGGTCATGTAAACAGAGCATGCCATGGATATGGGATGTTCTGATTTCATTTTCCAAGAAGCCGGACATTTACAGAATTTTTAAAAAGAAGTAATACATCCCTCTCTCCTCTTTCAGTGGAACCTGGTGTGTGAGGACGACTGGAAGGCCCCGCTCACAATCTCCTTGTTTTTCGTGGGTGTGCTGATGGGCTCCTTCATTTCGGGGCAGCTCTCAGACAGGTAAGGTGGGTATCTGTCTGCTGCAGCTGCTGGGGACCCCAGCCCAGAGCCAGGTAGTGTTCTCTCAACCTGGGCTGTCTGTCTGAAAAGGGGGCAGGCACATCGATACCATAGGCTCCATTCCAGGTAAGGAGAGTCAGCGGCCTCCTCTCACTGATGCTTGCTGAGCAAAACCACCTCAGCTGAGTGTATCCATGATCCAGTTGACCAGAAAATATGCCTTGATTCACTTCTGTGGCACCTGGCTGGCCTTCCCTAGGTAAGCATAACTCTTTGGTGTCTTCACGCATTAGGAGAGGGAGACACCACATACAAGCACATGAGCTGTATTGTAGATCTTAGGGCATTCCATAGACAGTTGCCTCTGTGTTCCCAAAAACCATCACTCTTTCCTCAAAGTAAGAGGAGGTCTCACTGGCCAATGGCAGTGTGATGGGCAGAACTCTTACGTCCACAGGGCTGATTCCCTTTAGCTAACAGGCTGTGGTTATTATTTATGGTACTTCACAGCAATCAGGAAGTGTGCTGTTTCAACCCATAAGCAGGTGATTTGTATAATTCCAGGGCTCTTGACTCAAGGTCTGGGGCTTAGGGCGTTTATCTCCTCTGGAGATTACCTACAAAATTTTAGAGATTGTATGCGAGCTTTTTTCTGGAGACAGTTCCAGAGTTGCCACAATATTCACAGAGGGGTTTATGATATTGTGTCTTTCTATCTCAGGACTTCAGGGTCTGTGAGAGAAGCCTGTGGCAAGGAGAATAGCCTTCAGCAACGTCCTTGGCCACACTGGATCACCCCATGGAGAGGAGTCCCAGCATCCTCCCAGCAGGGGGAGTCTCTCATAGGTTCAGGCTGAGGATGTCATCCTGCTTTGAGAACATAGCCATTTTACCCTGTAGCTTTCATGCAGAGGGATGTTTGGGCATGTTGCATCTATGGATTAATATCTTTACCTGAGAAGTCTTTCCTCATAAGAAATATGTGCATTTTTCACTAGATTTGTCTTTTCCGGTGTGTCATCTAGTGATTTTTGAAAGGGACAAATTCCCACAGTCACCTGTAAGCATTAAAGAGTTAAGTAGGCTGTGAGCACTGACTGTTGATTTTAGATGAGCCTGAGACACTTGCTCCTTTAGGGGAAAGGCCTTTGCTTCCCCAGACTCTTAACCTAGCAGCAAGTATCAGTTAGTTACTTATATTTATTTAATAAACATAGAGGATCTGAGAATTCCTTGGTAGTCCAGTGGTTAGGACTCCATGCTTTCATTCCCAAGCTCACAGGTTCAATTCCTACTGGGGCCGGGGAATTAAGATATCTCAACATTTACATACTTAAATACATATTTTAATGAAACTTTTTTTTTCCTGTTTTTCCTTTATAAATACACTTAGAGCATAGCAGTATTTACTGAAGGTGAATATACACTGACTCTATGACTCAGCTACCCCACCCAAGAGAACTCTTAATCTACAGCAAGCATCAGTTAGTTACTTACATTTACTTAATTAACACAGAGCATCTGAGAATTCCCCAGGGGTCCAATGGTTAGGACTCTGCACCTTCATTGCCAAGGTCACAGGTTCAGTTCCTAGTCGGGGCAGGGAACCAAGATCCCATAAGCTGCACAGCACAGTCAAAGTAAATGAATAAATAGATAATACATACATGTGGAGCTTCTAATATGTGCCATTCACTCTTAACACGTACTGTACAAATAAACAACAAATAATTTAATCTTTGTAACCCTATGATGCAGGAAGTATTAGTCTTCTCATTTTACAGATGGGAAAAATGAAGCCCAGAGGAATTAAGTGACTTGCCCCGAGTCACACAGCTGGCAAGTGTCAGGGCTAGGATTCTGGGCCAGAGAGTCCTGATCCTCTGTTTCCTGTGAACTACTGTTCTAGGTGCCCACTCTTCTAGAACTTGCCTTCTAGCAAGGCAGAATGTATTAAACAATGAATTGAGGGAAGTACTTATTACCCTTTGTGATGGTAGGTGATAGAAGTACAAGGTACTCAGAGAGGGTATGACAGAGGAGGCCTGAGATGGTGAACCATGTGCTAGGGGTTGAAAAATGAGTAGGCATTAGCCAGCTAAAGGGATGGAGAAAGGAAAGAGTGTTCTGTGCAGGAAAGCCAAAAGTGTTTAAGCTTAGACTCAAGAAAAGGCATGGTATACCATAGGAGCTTGGAGACAGTGCTCTGGGGTGGTGTGGAAAGTGGAATAGAGACACAGCAGTGAGGCAGGCTGAGTCCCATGCAAAAGAGCAGGCCAGGCTTAGCAGGTGACAGGAGTCTGGGCTTTCATCACAAAGCAGGGTGGAGCTTTTGACAGTGTGACATCATCAGATTTGCATTTTTAAAAAGTCGTTTGATAACTTGGTGGAGAAAGGATTGAAAGAGGGATGGTGGAAAGACTAAGTGAGAGGTTATCACAATGATTTATACAGGAAATGAACGTGACGTGGACTAGCCTGACGGCGGTAGACATGGAGAGAAGTAGGAGGTAAAACCAACAGGACTTAGCTATGTGCACACAGGAAGTGAGGGGAGGGAGACGCCTGGCCTGCACAACTGTGTAGATGATGATACCTTTCCCAAAGACAAAGCCCTGTGGAAGAGGACCAAGTTTGTAGGAGAAGATATTGAATTCCGTTTGAACATACTTAATTCAGGGTGACTATGAGACTTATGGTCTCATAGAAGTAATTGAGTATGGAGTTGGATGTATGGATAGGGTGCTCCATGAGAGGTTTGGGCTAGAGAAACACATTTGGGAATTGTCAGTTCACAGAACCCTCATCAAAGCCCGGCAAGTGGATGGGAACAGTGTAGAGTGAGAGAAGGGCATGCTGTGGACTGAGCTTAGAGGGCCTCCTGGAGCGGAAGTGGGAGGTCCTCCTCACAGGGTGGGTTGGCAGCTGAGACTCAGAGTAATTACCTTGATGTGAAAAACTAGGAGGAAGTACCCCGTTTCAGAGTTGAAACCCAGTGCGTTTCTCTGGTCAGCTGTGTCATAGAATAGGTAGATCTTTGTGGTCAGCTTCGGAGCCTGATGACCATGTAAGACCATGATGATCTGAGGAAAGGGTTTAAGTTTCAAAAGATCTGCTCCCAAGGAAACAATAGAAACAAAGTTAGTGACTGTGTTGAAGACTACCTTATTCTTCAGAAGGGCTAGTAGAGTGCTTCTCAAACCTTTAAAAAAATTTTTTTGCCAGCAGACTTCTTCTTTTAAGTAGGATCCTTTAAGTCCAGTAAATGAAATAGCCAAAAATGTGGCTGTTTTGGCTGCAGCACCTGCCTTTAGCTCCTTGTACCACCCCTCAAGCTTGTCTGCACCACCTTAGGCGGCCCCAGGGCTCTGCGGGGTGGGCAGTTTTCTCCTAAGTGAGCCAGGTCAAAAACCTAAGCCTAACAGATTGCCTTAGAGCAATATGTTCATGCCCTCTAGTGTTGCCTGTGATAGCAACAGTAACTTTTTAATATAGGGCTCCTTTCAGGAATATGAATAAGCCTAAAAGTCAAGAGCAATAAAATAATCCTGGGTTGCCAAAGTGTTTTATCTGATGTCACTGAGTTACCTTTAGGTGCAGAATTATAAGGGAGGCACAACCCTGGGGAAGAAGTAGCTGATATTTTTTATTTTTGTGGACATGTGTGTGTTTAACCTTTTGTTGACAGATTTTAAAAGTGAGCCTTTCTTGCAAATCAAAACTACAGTGACAAGTGTCACCTCATACCAGTCAGAAGGCCGTCATTAAAAAGTCTACAAATAACAATTGCTGGGAAAGGAAAAAAAAAGTGCTGAAGGGGGTGTGGAGAAAAGGGAACCCTCCTACATTGTTGGTAGGAATGTAAGTTGATGCAGCCACTATGGAGAACAGTGTGGCAGTTTCTCAGAAAGCTAAAAGTAGAACTACCACATGACCAACAGTCACACTCCTGGACAAAACTGTAATTCAAAAAGGTACGTACACTCCTATATTCATAGTAGCACTGTTCATGATAGCAAAGACATGGAAACAAGCTAAGTGTTCATCGGTAGATGAATGAATAAAGAAGATGTGGGACATATGTACAATGGAATTCTACTCAGCCATAAAAAAAGAACAAAATAATGCCGTTAGCGGCATCATGGATAAAACTAGATATTGTCATAGTAAATGAAGTAAGTCAGAAAATGGAAGACAAATACCATACAATATCACTTATATGTGGAATCTAAAATATGACACAAATGAACCTATCTACAAAACAGTAACAGACTCACAGACATAGAGAACAATGTTGTGGTTGGCAAGGGAGAGGGAGGTGGGGAGAGATGGATTGGGAGTTTGGGGTTGGTAGATGTAAACTATTATGTTTAGAATGGATAAACAACAATATCCTATTGAATACTGTATAGCACAAGAAACTATATCCAATCTCCTGGGATAAATTGTAATGGAAAAGAGGAGGAAAAAAGAATGTCTATATCTATATAACTGAGTCACTTTGCTGCACAGCAGAAATTAGCCCAACATTGTAAATTGGCTATACTTCAATTTAGAAAAATAAAGAAAAAAAATGTTGGTGGCTGTCAGAGAATATAGCTGATCTTTTCTGTATTTTACAGATGTGCTGTATAAATAAAAATAGACAAATGTTTCTTTTTAAAAGTGACTGTTTTGAGTCCCAAACCCAGATTGCCAAGGACTGTTGCAATGGAAGGGCTCGCTGAGTTGTCCTCCTCACTACTCTCCAGGGAGCCGTTGGGAGGGGAGAGCAGGGTAGGGAGGCCCCACCCCTCGGTTGGTGTGCTGCGCACTAGTGTTACAGGACAATGCAGGGGAGTCTCCTTTTAGGCCAGGGTTGCTCAAGCTCGGCACTGTTGACATTTTGCCCCAGAGACTGCTTTGTTGTGGGAGACTATTGTGGGCATTTTTCAGATGTTTAGAACATATCTGGCCTTTATTTACTAGAGACCAGTATCATCAAAAACAACAAAACCCTGTTGTAATGGGGAGAAGCACCAAACTCTTTACCGTGGCTGAAGGCCTTGTTCAGCCTGGCCCCCTGGCACCCTCTGCAGTCTCCCCCTGACCAGCTGCCCCTCGCGTGCATTCGTCTTGCCCCTCCAACCGTAGTTGTACATGCTCTTCTCATAATCAGAGCAAAACATTCCCAGACCCCTACCCCTGTGCCACAGCCTTCCTTGACCACACGGGTGACCTCCTCAGGGTGTCTGGTATACATTATTACGCTGGTTCCTTGTGCCTTGCCTTCATATTGCCTATCAGAAATAAATAAAAGATGTTATCCTATGATTAATGTTGACCTCCCCCTCTGTACTGTGAATATCATTAAAAGCTTGCTCACTCTCCCTTACCCTCTCTTGTGAACAACTACTTTACCTTTGGGTCTGATCTTGGTGCCCCATCTTCAAGGAGACCTCCCCTGAATGCCCAAGTCCCCAGCCCCTCCCTGCAGTCCAGGACAGGTTCCTTCTTGGGTCCCCTGTGGGTCAGGATGCTGATCCTTCAGCGCCCTTGTATCAGTGTGTGATCGTACATTGAGCAGTGTGATTAAAATATGACTACTGTCTGTCTCACCAACTACACGCTATAAGCTCCTTGAGGGCAGAATCAGTGTCTTTTTTTCTTATTCAAATACATTTATAGTGACTAGTATATAATAGATGTTGAAATAAATAATCATTGAATGAAAATGGGTATCTGATAGCCCTGGCCAGACTCAAGCTGAATCTGCTAGGTTGAATGAACTAGGTTGACTTGTTCCTACTTTTTGTAGCACTGTCTTTAAAACCAAACAAATCCAAAAAACCCAACATTTAAAAAAATTTTAAGTTGATCACAGGTATAGAAAACCACATAGAACAAATGAGGTTTAATGAATTATTCCAGGGAAATAACCATATAAATATCATCAAGTCAAGAAATAGAACTTTGCTGGCCACCAGGAAGGCCCACTCATCTGTTCCATTCCAAGGACAGTAGCCTCCCTCACCTATCAGTAAACACTAGCCTGACTTATAATAATTACTTCCCTGTGGGTTTTTGGTAGTTTTATCATCCAAATGTGCATCCTTAAACACAAGTTTAGTCTTGCTCACTTAAAAATTTTTACATGTCTGTTAGTCTGCTTTAACCTAGGGGTTCTCCATCCTTTTCTCTGCCTGGGCTATTCTACCTGTAGAATTTCCCAGTCTGAATTTTGCTGAGGGTATCAATTGAACATATTCCTTTTTTCTCTGCATTTCTTGCAAATTGCAGCTAGATCCAGAGACTTCATCAGATTCAGATCCAGCCTCTTTGGCACGTCTATAGGAGTCATACAAAAAATGTTCAAGTGTCTCTTTTTATGATGTTAGCAGTCATTGAAACATGATGCCTGTTCATATCTGCCATATCTGTTCATTCACTGGGAGTCATAAAAGGATGATATTCTAATTTTATCACTTTGGTTTCATTTAATAGTTGGAATACTTTTATGAAATGATACTTTCCCTCATCTGTTACTGGTTACTGTTCATATAGTTTACATAGAAAAGTCAGGACAAATGTCTTCCCCTTTATTTAAACAGTTTTCATCTGTAATGAATTTTTTCTCCATTATCCTCCAAAGTAAACCAACTCTTTAAAAATATTGATTATGAATGTATGAACTTAAGTATAATGAATGTGTTTCAGTCCCTTGTGATCATTGTGTCAACTCTGGCACTGCCTTTTGGGCAATGCTGGTGCCCAGGCTGTGCATTGGTAACAGCCCAGGGACCCAGTGACCAGGACGAACCCCGCACCAAGTTCCCTGACAGCACTGTCCGCAGCCCCTCCCTGAATGATCCCCGGGAAAGACCCCTTGGGGGGGGGCCATTCCTGCTGCCTTCTCCCAGCTGGTTCTCTGTCACTCTCCTTTCCTTCCCAGGTTTGGTCGGAAGAACGTGCTGTTTGTGACGATGGGCATGCAGACAGGCTTCAGCTTCCTGCAGATCTTCTCGAAGAACTTTGAGATGTTTACCGTGCTGTTTTTCCTTGTAGGCATGGGCCAGATCTCCAACTATGTGGCAGCATTTGTCCTGGGTATGGCCATCAGTTTGGAGTTGAGTACTTGATCCTGTGTTTCACCATCATCCCACCACCCACTTTCTGGGGACAGCTGTGATGTCCCTCTGGGGAGGTGGTCTCTGGCAATGCCAACCAGGGATCCTTGGTGGACCCAATTAGTAGGCATGGAAACTGAGTCCTCCAAGTGCCCACCTAGCCTTGCGTCCCCAGCAGCACAATAGCCTGACCGCTGATTTCCAGTTCTTCTCTGGCCCCCGACATGTGGCACCTTGGTCTCATTAGTACTTGATGGCCATTTTACTAGAATTCACCTAAACATCTTCTGTTAAAAAATAAGGCCTGCCATTTCCCAGGGCTGGGGTAACTAAGGAAAGAGGGAGGCATGACATGAGGAGCAAGGGCCATGATTGGCAAGCTCACCAAGGAAGAAAACTGCCTCTTCTGAAACACACAGTGGCTAGTGAAATCGACTGGCAAGAATGAATTGAGGGACTTCCTTGGTGGTCCAGTGGTTAAGACTTTGCCTTCCAAAGCAGGGCGTGAGAGTTCAATTGCTGGTTGTGAAGCTAAGATCCCACATGCCCATAGGGCAAAAAAAAAAAAAAGAAAGGAAAGAAAAAACCCAAAACATAAAACAGAAGCAATGTTGTAAAAAATTCAATAAAGACTTTAAAAATGGTCCACATTTTTTAAAAAATCTTAAAAAAAAAAAAAAAAGAATGGATTGATAGGGGTGGGTTTTAGTCACGAGACCTTCAGGGTTTTAATTCATAATCCACAGTGCAGGGCTTGGGCCTGCTCTCACTGAGAAGCTGCCAGTCGCACTGTTCGGAGGAATCTAACTAACTTTTGGGTCATTGGGTTCCTTGGGCTGATTGTTGAAAGGATTATTTGTTTCTTTTCACATTTAATGGAAAAATTTTTCTTAAGAGTGCAGTAGTCAGCACGTGTGGCTATAAAGCAACTTCCCCTTTAATGAAGCCTTCCTCAGTGAAGATTTAAATTTGAGGCCCCACATGGCATCTTTAGCATAGGGTTTCGGGAAGTGATGTCAGTTTCAGGAGAGAACCCTGAGGTCCCCGCAGCAGGTGGTCAGAATCCTGTCGCTCCCAAAGGCTTGGAAACTTCGAGATAATTCTGCCTGATCCCTTATCTGTATGTTGAAAATTACACAAGAGAAGATGAATAAGGAAATGACCAGAATTAAACTACTAACCTGACTCCTCCCTTGTTTTGAACAGGAACAGAAATTCTTGGCAAGTCAGTTCGTATTCTATTCTCTACGTTAGGCGTGTGCATATTTTATGCGTTTGGCTTCATGCTGCTGCCCCTGTTTGCTTACTTCATCAGAGACTGGCGGATGCTGCTGCTGGCACTGACCGTGCCGGGGGTTCTGTGTGCGGTGCTCTGGTGGTGAGTGTGCCCTGTGCCCTGGTGGTACCCGCCAGGGTCCCTGGTGTCTTCTGTCTGGCTTTCACTAGGGGGCAGCAGCAACCCACACATCCTGTGTTCTTTCAGAATGTTTTTTCCATCCACAGAAAAGCCCAAAACAAAACAACCCCAGGAAATCAACAGACTTGTTCTCAGCCCTGTGCTGGGTTGATCGGTGTGTACAGAGAGGAAAAAGCAGTAGCTACAAGATGATAGTCTAGCATGACCTCCAGGAAGCTATCAGACCGAAGGACAAGACAGCTTAGGCCCTGGCTCTGGTTGGGTGTTGCTGCAGCCTCGGGCTGCAGGACTGAGAGGGGAGGGAGCACATTGTAAGTGAGAGTCCCTCCAGGTAGCAGGATGGAGGAAACCAGGCTCCATCTTAGCCTCCAACGTAGAGCTGGACAAGTAGAGAGGAGGCTGTTCCATACTAAGAGAGAATGCAGCTGAGGTGCTGAGGCAGGTGTTCCACTTTGCAGGTGGGGATGGTGAGGGCCCTGGCCCACCCGGATGTGAGAGCATTGCAGAGCACAGTGGGAGAAGATACAGGGCACAGAAGACACAGATGAGTCCTGGTTATGACCCAAGGGCAGAGGCCACCTGGTGAGGTAGAAAATAAGATCCACAAAGTCTCAGAACACCCAAGTGCCTTATAGAGGGTCAACTGGAAAAATTAAGGAGGGAGGGATGAGGATAAACTAGAGGCTGTCAGAGGCCAGTGCAGAAGCTTCTGTGGATGCCAGGAGCAAGCGGGGGAGTACAGCAAGGTGAGGTTCCTCCCCCGCCCCAGGCTCAGCCCAGGACCGAAGCCAGGCTGCAGGAACCCATGTTGTGCCTGTCTACTTAGTCTCCAGCAGGTGGCACCACCACTCCCCAGAAATGGGAGGTGGCCCGCCAGAGAGGAACCCCATCAGGGTGTGTTGGCCCCTGTAACTTCTGTGTACTTCAGTGTAATCAGAGGCTCACACTCACTGGCTGTAGCATGGTGCATCTCTTAGCTTCTGGCTCGGAAGTATCAAACATTCCTCAAACCTCGCTCTGGTTCTGAAACCCCATTTCCCACCTCCACTTGTGCTCCACCTGGTCTGAGGGACAGAAGGCTCAGTGAGATTGCTTCTGGTACTTCCAGGTTCATCCCTGAGTCTCCCCGATGGCTCATCTCTCAGGGACGATTTCAGGAGGCAGAGGTGATCATCCACAGGGCTGCCAAAACCAATGGGATCATTGCACCTTCAACCATCTTTGACTCCAGTGAGGTGAGCACCATGCCGGGGCCGGTGGGAGGGTCCCGGCGACCACAATTTTAGGGCAGCATCACACAGCCCCAAAGCCCTCCCTTTACACAGCAGCCCAGCCCCCTCCATGCCTAAGGCCCAGCTGCCCCCAAGGCAGGTCCTGTTAAAATTCAGAAGTTAGAAGGTGCCAGCTGCCTCAGTTCCTTTACCTTTCCTGTGGATTTTAGATTTTCATACTTTGTATAAATCTTCTCTTTTAGGTGATCATACAGTGGAACCATTACTTTTCATAATAAAAACTCTTTATGTGTTTATATGGTCTTCCATGAAGTTGGCATTCTGGGAAATCATTGTTTCTTATACCTTGGTCAGTTTCTAATTAAAAAAAAAAAAATGCACTGCCTAAAATATGAAACAAAAATAGATTTGGAGTTAAAACTGTTCTGTCTCCTTCCGCCTACCAGTGCGGAGTTGTTGAGTATCGTCTTAGAGCCAGGTCCTTTTTGATATCCACCCTCCCCCAAACTCACGCCTTCCTGCAAACCCTGTTCTCCCGTGCAGTGAGTAATTTCCTGGCTCTGCCTGATTCCTGGGTCTTGCTTCTCTTTCCTGTTCCCTCTGTTTCCACCCTGTCTGTAGCAAGCCGTTTTCCTCAGTCCCATGGCTCCCAGAAGAGGTTAGACGTTGTCATTGTTGGCTGATGGGGTTCTGGAGTGTGTCTCTGCTCTGACAAAGACAAGGGCCTGGCTGTGAGAAGAGCCAGCAGGAGCATATTGCTGTGTGCAAAGGCATGTTCGAGCCAGTCTGACTTCCGATGCAGAGTTCAGGTTTGGGAAAGAGAGACCAGTTACTAGAGGTGGCAAAAAAGCCGCTGGCCACTGCCAGCCCTGCCAGCCTCATAGTTAAGAAGCGGCCCAGCACCAGCTCCCACTCAGCATGTCCTAGAAAGGACTCGGTCAGAGTTCAGCAAGGGGTAGATGGCATGGAAGGCTTCTAGTGAGGTAGCCTTGGTAGCTTTGCAGAGGTCAGTCTGGTGAACGCCTGAATCCAGCGGCATCTTTATAGAAATGAGGCTATTTCAGGGGATCTGTTAGGTCAAAAGTTGACCTTTTGTTGAACTGCTAACTCAGGAAAAACAGACTCCAAAGCTGGGTTTGCTTAAGAAAGCAACATCAGTGTGTTTAGACGTGTGGTTTATTAATGTTCTTGGCTGTGCCAAATTTCATAGGAAGTTACATTGGGTGAAGCCAAGGTCAATTTTCCTGTTTTTCTATCTGAAAATTTTTTTCCTTGGAAGTAGACCAGTAACTACATGGTAGGAGGACCAAAAAACATTAATTCTTTAAAAAATATCATATCAATAAACTACACAGCCAGTTTCTCTCTCTGACCTAGAGGGCTGGGAGCCAGGCTTGGGAAGGAATGCTCAGAGGCCTCCCTGGAATGTGGCCATTGACGGGGTTCGGGGTGGTGCTCAGAGAGAGCCATCGGCTTAGGCCTCCTCCTTGGCTGCGTTGCATTACAGGCTGGTCACTTATTTTTATTCCTCTTTCTTGTTCACTAATTTGTTATCAAGACCTGGTGAAGCCTTCTGCAGCCCAAGACACAGTCTCTATACCTACTCTTCTTTTCAAGCAAGAAACATGAACCACTTCCCAAGTCAGAGACACAGAAAGCTAAGATGCCAGGGTTTCGAGTATGTTCTGGGGTCTCTAAGTCTCCAACCCTCTATCCCTCCCATACCCTGTCCTGTTGTCCGCAGCTACAAGACCTAAGCTCCAAGCAGCAGCAGTCCCACAGCATCCTGGATCTGGTCCGAACTCGGAACATCCGGATGATCACCGTCATGTCCATAATTCTGTGGTGCGTAAGTGAGACCTACCTGGGGCCTCCAGATGCAGCTTCTGGCAGCAGCTCTCAGGCTTCACATTTGCAGACATGTCTCAGACCAAAATTGAAAGCCTGTGTCATCAGAAAGTGGCACAGATGTGCCTTGCAATTAAAGAAATGGGCATGTCCTGGTTCTTAATGGAATCTCAGAAGAGGAGTACGAAAATTGTTGTGGGGGCTCTTGAGGAAGATACGGGATCTGTGGAGATCCCTCCGGGTCATAAGGTGAAGAGTTGCTCATGTTGGGTCCCTAGTTTAGTTGTTCCTGTCAACAGTGCATCAGACGGTGACAGAGGAGGACTGGTGAGGTCTTTAAGAAGTTCTAAGTGAAGACTCCACGTCCTTTAGGTTACATTCTTAAAATGTGGAAGCAGGAAGTCTTCTCTCTGGAATGTTTGGAGACTGTCCTGGAGGCAGAGCCATGGCCTGCATGTGCTCTTCAAGTTCCTTCTAATGTGGCATCTCCCCAAGTGTGTCAGGCAGGGATTTGTGACTTACCAGAAAGAAGGAACACATCTAAGTGCCTAGAGAGTGTTTGCTCAGTGGCCAGACCCTTGGGATTACAGGTGACTACCTGAGCCTGCAGTGGGGGAGGAAGGCAGGCTACATCTCAGAGTCCTTATTGCTAGAGTCAGCAAGCCTTGGCAACCAGCTGGGTTGTTCCCTGGGCGGTACTATGAGTCACCCATTTCCAAGGAATGGCCCGGGATCCCTCAGGGCAGCACACCACCCCTGAGTCGGCCTCAGACAAAACCAGCATTCAGCCTGCACCACAGACTTGCCAGCCTGCAGTGAGTCACCAGTCCTGAGGTTCACCCTGGCTCTCCACCTGCTCTGGATTTCCCAGGGACTCCTGTATGAGCCCTCTTCCCTGATTATAATGGCTGTGACTTCAACCTGCAGATGAGTTAGAAAGAATCTGATTCATGTTGTTCTGGTTTGCCAAAAAGTGCTGACCGTCAACAGAGGGAGTGTCTGCTGGAGACAGGCACTCAGATGGCCCACTGGGAGCTCCCTTTCCTCCTCACAAGTCTGGTGGGGTTGGGATCAACTGCTTCTGACCAGTCTCTTGGCTCGTCGCCCCAGAGGATCTTCCAGGGATCTTTCTCTAAATATTTGACCAGTGACTGTTCCTTATTTATGTTATGTCACCAATTTTACTGCACCCCACTTAATAGCTGCCTCTTTACTCATTTCCGAGCTCCTTCGGCAGTTGCTGGATCTGGAAGGTTCGGAGAGTAGGGAGGTAGGCTTTTGTGAGTGCTTCAGCTTAGGATTCCTGGGTGGCTCAGTGGTAAAGAATCTGCCTGCCAGTGCAGAAGACGCAGGAGAAGAAGAAGACGCTGAAGACTGGTTCAATCCCTGGATCAGGAAGTTCCACTGGAGGAGGGCATGGCAACCCACTCCAGTATTCTTGCCTGGAGAATCCCATGGACAGAGGAGCCTGGCGGGCTACAGCCCATGGGGGTTGCAAAGAGTCAGACACTGCTGAGCACACACAGTTAGGATTTGTAAAGTCAAAAGGCCTATTGACAGGTTGTTGGGTCTTGGTGTTTTTTTCCAACACAGGAAATCTATCTGACTTATATGTCTTTGCTGGGACACTTTGGAATGCTTTGAAAGTGCTCTGACCCAAAAGATACCCTGGTCTGGGGGAAGTTATCTTTGTTTCTAAGAAGGACGACTCAAGGTTAAGTCTGTTGCCCTCCTGGTGAGGATAGTTTTGAATTTCCTGCAGTAATGATATTTTAAAAGTCGCCTAGGTAGGGAGGCACTTGGATGCTGCTTCTCCAGCTTTCCTTGGCACTCTGTTTCAGGATGACCATATCCGTGGGCTACTTCGGGCTCTCCCTTGACACCCCTAACTTGCACGGGGATGTCTATTTGAACTGCTTCCTTTCGGCCGTGGTTGAAGTCCCAGCGTACGTGTTGGCCTGGCTGCTGCTGCGGCACCTGCCCCGACGATACTCCATGGCCATGGCCCTCTTCCTAGGTGGCAGCGTTCTTCTCTTTGTGCAGCTCGTGCCCCCAGGTAGGTCCCATACGTGTCTGCGGCCTGAGGTATCCACTGAGTCACTCGGTTTCTAGCAGACTGTCTCACCCAGTTAGTAAAGAGCATGAAGTGATGCCGTCATAGCTTGCCTGCATATCTGTGTTCTCGTCCAACAAATCAGGAGAAAGTACCTCCCGGGACCAGACAGTCATCACAGCCTGGCTTTGGGGGCAGGAGGGGCAGCAGCCATGTGGGGCTGGCAGTTGATGGTACTCTTCTACCCAAGCTAAAGTGTGCGTGTTTGTTTCTGGGAGGGAAGAGAGCCATCCCTGTGTCTTTTCAGCCTGGCCCCGTCTTAGTCATTCATTCATTCATTCAATAAGCAGCTGAGCAGTGTTTACTGTGGGGGAGGCGCTGTTCTTGGGGCTAAGGAGCAGAAGTAAACTAGTTGGGCAGGGCCCAGGCCTTCCTGGAGCTCATGTTCCAGTTGGGAAAACAGAAAATGAACAAGTAAATAAAATGCTTAGTATAGTACAGGCAGTGTTACCTTTTATAATGACGGTGAAGTACAGTGGAGAGCTGCTTTATATAGAGTGGTCACAGTGTCCCTGAAGAGGGGACAGTTGAGTAGCAAGAGATGAAATGATGGAGAAACCCAGGAAAATGTCTAGAAGCAGAACATTTTAGGCCAAAAAAAAAAAAGGCCAAGACCCTGAGGAGGGTAATGAACCTGGACTGTATGGTAAGAGGTGAGGGGAGGAGAACGGGAAGGTCAGTCCACAGCACAGTTCTCACAGGCCAGCTGCAGGAGTTTATTTGTAAAACTGTCTTTGTATCCTACAGAAGGGTGTGAGGTCTTTGAAAATTCACAAAATGGTTTATGGACCCTCACGCCCATGGCGGTACCCCGAGTTGTTATGGATCGGGACCTCTGGATCCCTGAGGCTGGCAACACTGCATAGTGTGGCTGGGAGCCCAGGGGTGTATGTGGGGGCTCACACCAGATCTCAGGGAGACCCACAGGGTACTCGCAGCATCTCCTCATCGGCACAGCAAGCAGGTGACATCAGAGGGTCATTTCTGAAGGTCTGCTGGTCTGTGAGGTGTTGAGTAGAGTGATAGCATGAAGTGAGTTATGACTGAACTTCCCATCTATACGCAAATCCTTAGATAATCCCACAGTGCTGGCAGCATGAGGTTCCATGTTTTTAGTGACTTTGTGACTGGGGAGCAAGTTTCGTTTGGATTATTGAGGGGCTCACTCTGGTGGTCTCAAGGCGGAGGAGAAGAGTATGTCCTCACACAGCTGCCGGTCCCAGCCTCCTCTCAGTAAGCAACGTGGAGGGACATAAGCCCCTTATCCCACAGTAGAAAGTTATAGAAACTTCCCTTCCCAACCCTTCCCAGAAAGAAAGGGAGAAAATATGTCTGTTTCAGGCAAAAAACAAACCAAAAAACAACCCTCTGTTGCCTCCTCCTACTTGCCTCCCTTTGCCTCTCCAGAGCTGTATTACTTGGCTACAGTCCTGGTGATGGTGGGTAAGTTTGGAGTCACAGCTGCCTTTTCCATGGTCTACGTGTACACGGCCGAGCTGTACCCCACCGTGGTCAGGAACATGGGCGTGGGCGTCAGCTCCACAGCGTCCCGCCTGGGCAGCATCCTGTCTCCCTACTTCATTTACCTTGGTAAGTCCCTCGGGGCAGATCGCACACAGGAGGGTTGGGGTGGAAACACTGATTGGCTGTAATATGGGCCAAGGACTGCTCAACAGGAAAACAAGTGTACATGCAGCCAAGACGGGGATCTGTGCCCAGGGGAGGTTCCTACTGAGGTGCACTGTGGTGGAAGCACTCATGTGGAAAACAACCTACAGACAAGCTTGAAATTGACAAGAGTGGAGGCTTTTGTGCCTGTTTTAGCCTTCCTAGGCCTTCTGTCAGAGAAGGTAATTCCCCAGTCCTAAGAAATTGCAGCATGTTTAGGGAGCCAGTGTACTTAATTGGCAAAATTCCTTCTTGGAATTTAAAAGGAATAGGAATAGGGAGGGAAGGATGTCCACTGAAGAGATCTGGTGAACGGAGAACCTCTGTAACTTGAAGCACTCAATGCAGCAGTTTTACACTGTGCAAAGATCTGCATTATGGCATCTTATGTGACAGGGCCCCAGTTTTATCTTTCTCAGAATTGTTTCCTCACAGCAGCTGCAGTCCCCCTGCACATTCCTAGCTGGCACATCTCTGGGGAGGGTTGGCCCCGCCTTGGGAGCACTTTGTGAACATGCTGCAAAGATCTGACAAGCAGAAACACCTCGTGACCTGGCCTGAAGACAAATTGAGTGGGTTGTGACATGCCTGGAGAGGTGGAGGAGTTATTCCTGTCCCTGGATAAGTACCTCAAGTTCCTTGGAAATCCAGCATTAGGAAAAAGGAATGGAGGGACTTCCCTGGCGGCCCAGTTGTTAAGATTCTGCGATTCCACTGCAGAGGGCGTGGGTTCAATCCCTGGTCAGGGAACTGAGATCCCACATGCCACACGGGATAGGAAAAAAAAAAAAAAGAAAGGAAATACAAATATAAATGTCCCAGCCCTATCTTTCCAGTCTACACCCCTCCCCTGCATCAAGGTACTGCTGGCTTGTGCCAACTCTGGGTTCTGTGACCTGCCTAGGTGCCACATTCCAATATGGCAGCTCAGACTGGGAGATGCCAAGGCCGAGAAGCCAGGTGATACCCATTAGAGTCCCGGGGACATGAAAGGAGGGGGAGAGACCACGTCTAATTGCACCCCCAGCTTGGGACTCTGTCTGCTTCACCACAGGTGCCTACGACCGCTTCCTGCCCTACATTCTCATGGGGAGTCTGACCATCCTGACAGCCATCCTCACCTTGTTCCTCCCAGAGACCTTCGGCATTCCACTCCCAGACACCATTGACCAGATGCTAAGGGTCAAAGGGTAAGGAGGCCTCCTTCTTCACAAAGTTAATGTGCTAGATCTGGGCCTGGCAGAGAGTTCCCCACAAACTCAGAAATGCCATGGACGAGTTTAGCCATAAGAGGATCAGACGTGGCCAGGTGCTTACAGCCTGTTCTTTCTGGCTGGTCCTAGACCACCAGGTCATCATGCATCTCTCCACAGCAACAGCAACTCTGGGATAGTACAGAGACAAGGAGAAACCTTTCAGAATCTGCTGTTCGATTTTTCTCCCCCCTTTAGTGAGATAACCTCAGCTATGGCAGTGGCAGGGGTGGGGTTTGTTTTGAAACTGGTAGATAATCTTTCTAAGATTTGTTACTAACTCTTGTTTGATTTGTCTTTATAGAATAAAATACAGGCAAACTCCAAGCCACACAAGGATGTTAAAGGATGGTGAAGAAAGCCCCACAGTCCTTAAAAGCACATCCTTCTAACACAACCTCCAGTGGGAAAGGGAAGAGGAAAGACTGTCTTGTCAGAAGTGGCCTGTGCAGACACTGGCCCTTCAGTGGCAAAGGTCCTTGCTGTTGACTCTATGGGTGCCATGTCTGCCTCGCTCATGGATGGACACCCACACTCAGCTGCCTGTGGTCCTAGACACTACCTTTCTCCAGGGACTCTGGCTACTGACAGGCAACTTTGGGTAAATCCTAACCATTACAATGATGGACTTGGCACTTTCTAAGAAGTTAACCACTAACTGGAGCCAGTAGGATTTGGAAAAATAGGAGAGGCATTTGCTAAATTTATGTTTTAATTTCAGATTGCCTAAAAAAGGCCTCTGATAGACCTGAGGGTCTAGTCCTCCCCTCCCCAACCCCCACCCCACTAAACATCTTTTCCCCGTTTCCCTCTAGTGGTGCCCTTTAGAGGAAGAGAAGTAATTTCACAGGAAGTTTGATTTCTCATACTTTCTCAGTTACAAAGGATATTGTTGCTTCCCCAGGGCAGGAGAACACAGGTCTGGGGAAAGCTAGAATTTAATATGGAGGGAACTGAGCAGATACAGAACATAGACAAGTGCATTGACTTACGAGCACTTAAACCACTCAGAATGACTACTGGGTAGACTTATTTACATCTGATCAAAGCATCGGGCTTGTCTGGGCCCATAAGAGATGCATCACTGAATCTACTATACTTGTTTTCCACTGCTATGTGAATCAGGTCTCCTAGCTACTATGGTTTCTGACGTATGGTTTGAAGGAAGTAAATCAGTGAGAGAGACAAGCAAACTTGTCTCCTCTCCCAAAACTATAATGTGGATTTTGATTGTTTGTGTTTTGTTTGTTGTCTGTTTTTTGTTATGTCTTTTTTCTCCTTAAGTTATTTGCCCTTCAGAATAGACTTAGGAAAGGCTGGTTCCTTAGCCTCCTGGTTTTGTCTTTTGTTGTTTGTTCGTTTCAACCCAGAGTCACTCGGGCAATGGTTTGCAGTTGCCACCTCTGCAAGGCCTCACCAGCCTTAGCTAAACTAGCACTTCTCTGAGTGCCAAAAATGATGTCATTGTGTGTGTTCCTTTTGTGATACTTAATCATGGGGAAGAAATTACAAAGAAGAAGGTTAAGTTGTGCTCACAGTCTTTCAGAGTTGCTCACTTCAGTGGTTTAACACAGGGAGATACTCTGCGTTCAGTGTAAAATTGTCTTCTCTTTTCTGAATATGTTACCATGGTACTCCTAGAGCATATGCTTCACCTGGTTTAAAAAAAAAGTATTTTTGTGAAAGCTACTGAAGTGCCTTGGGAAATGAAGATGTTTTAATAAATGATTTTTTAAAATAATAACTGCCCACAAATTTTATTTTCACAGTCTGGTAAGTCATACCACACCTTCACGTGACTTTTCTCTGTGTCAGCTTGGACTAATTCTAACAAGTTTATAATTGGTCTCTAAAGCTAAGATTTAATCCCCGTGTACTAGAGACCCTCGCTCTGTTAACTATGGACTGAGCCAGAATTCGTGCACAAATGTCTTAGCCTGGGTTCCCCTGCAAGTGGAGCGGAAGACCGGTGCTTCTGTGCAGTTGTGTGTGTGTGTGCTCAGTTAGTTGCTCAGTCACGTCCAACTCTTCGAAATTCTCCTGGCAAAAATAGTGGAGTGGGTTGCCGTTCCCTTCTCCTGGGGATCTTCTGGACTCAGGGATTGAACCCAGGTCTCCCACATTGTCGGCAGATTCTATACCACCTGAGCCACAGGGAAGCCTGTAGAAATACGAAAGACAGAGCAAAGGAAATGGAGGAATAATTCAGATTTTTAAAATAATGAAAAGTTTTCTACCACAGATCAAAGTGAAAACAGGAGTGTACCCTATAATATTTTCCTATTCTTGGCAAATAGTTCCTGCCTCCAGACTTCCCTAAACACTCTTCTAAATTCCAGAAGCCTAGTATTTGCCAAAGAGAATTAGACTGCTTAATATCTAGAATAATGATGGTGAACATGTTGGGCAGAGGGTCTTTGTGAGGTGGTAAGTAGCACAAGAAATCTTTCCCCTGGGTGTTTGTCACTTATTTTCCTAAAGGACTTTTTAAAAATTTTTATTTATTTTAATTGGAGGCTAATTACTTTACAATATTGTAGTGGGTCTTGCCATACATTGACATGAATCAGCCATGGGTGTACATGTGTTCCCCACCTAAAGGACTTTTTAAGGTGACAGAAAGAGGCATGATTCAATTCAGCACTAACAATATACCTTATGTTGTGTGCCATTGCTATAAAAGCACTTTGGAAAAATACGTCTATATTTTCATTTGATTCTCATAAAAGTCTTATGAGATTGAGAAAGGATGCCCAGGATGATACATCAGAGGTTTCTCAGCAGAAATCATAGCTACCTGGAGTCTCAGGCAGACCCACCCCAGAAGGTCTCACCTTGGGAAGAAGGGGCCTCATTTTAAGCACAGGTGTGCAAGAGGCTGCCAGAGACACTGGGACATCATCTCTCTGCTGGACCAGCCAGAAGGCAACAGTCAAGAACCAAGAACCGGACTGACTCTTCACCCCAGGAGTCTCACATGAGAAACTCTTTTCATGGAGGCGTAGGGAAGATGTGGAAATAAACTTTATACATCAAGGAGAGTTTGCTGAATGCATGCAGCGGTGTCAGTATTTCCCAGGCTGGTCTACTGAGCCTTCAGAACTACTTTATTCATAATCATGTAACCTTTGATTATGAACAAAATAGTTCTTAAAAAAAAAAAAGAAATGTCATCTTAGAATTGCCTTCCCCTAGATGAAACAGAGCATTAAAATGTAAAAACCTATGAGTTTTTTTTTTTTCCACCAAAATGAACCAAACAAGAAAGCAGCATAACTTAATACACTTTAGAAACTGGTGGAAGGAAAGAAATAGAAGATTCTAACATTGCCCCTCAACTCTTTAGCCATACTATGAATAAACAATCATCAATATCTGAAACAGTCTCTACTTACTCCCACATCTGACAAATGGCAAACTGGGTGAAGGTCTCTATTTCCCTATTCAAAGATTTTTGGAAACTACCAAAGAAGTTGGCAACTACCAACAAGGCTAATCACGCTGAAAGAAGTGAGAACAGCTTGGGACTTCCCTTGTGGCTCCAGTGCAGGGGACGTGGGTTTGACCCCTGGTTGGGGAACTAATCCTGCATGTTGCCAGGCATGGCCAAAAAAAAAAAAAGAAGTGGGACCTGTTCCGTGAGAAATGGTGAAGGGAGTCCTTTGGGCTGGAATGAAAGAACACTACTAACACAAAAACACATGAAAGAATAGAGAATACAGATAAACTGGAACTAGCTAATAAATATAAAAGACCGTGTTAATGAGAGTGAGGAAATCACTACCAATAAGAGAATACCAGAAATAATCATATGCAAACAAATTAGATAAACTAGATGAACTGGACAAATTCCTGCAAACACACAGATTGTCAAAACTGTCTTAAGAAGAAATAAAATCGGACCAGACTTTGAATTAATAAACAACCTCCCAACAAAGAAAAGCCCAGGATCAAATGGCTTCACTGGTGAATCTACCAAGCATTTAAAGAATTAACACCAATCCTTCTCAACTTCTTCCCAAAAGTAGAAGACAATTCCTAATTCATTCTATGAGGCCAGCATTATTCTGAGACCAAATCCTGACAAAGACATCAGAAGAAATCTATAGAGCAATATCCCTTATGAAAATAGACGTGAAATATTCTACACAATACCAGCAAGCCAAATTCTGGAGTATAATAAGAGGATTACATATTTGACCAAGTGGGATTTATCCCAGGAATACAAGGGTAGTTTAATGTACAAACATTAATCAGTGTAATACAGCACATTAATAGAATGAAGGTTTAAAAAAATGAAGATATAAATTAATGCATAAAATCATTTAACAGGGAATTCCCAGATTATCCAGTGGTTAGGGCTCCGTGCTTCCACTGCAAGGGGCATGGGTTCAATCCCTGGTCAGGGAACTAAGATCCCACAAACTACACAGCTGAAAAAAAAACCAAATCATTTGATAATATGCAACACCTTTTCTTGATACACACACAAAAAAAGGACAAAACACTCAACAAACTAGAAATAAAACTCCTTCACTACGATAAATGGAGAAGGCAATGGCACCTCACTCCAGTACTCTTGCCTGGAAAATCCCATGGACGGAGGAGCCTGGTAGGCTGCAGTCCATGGGGTCTCGCTAAGAGTTGGACACGACTGAGCGACTTCACTTTCACTTTTCACTTTCATGCATTGGAGAAGGAAATGGCAACCCACTCCAGTGTTCTTGCCTGGAGAATCCTAGGGACATGGGAGCCTGGTGGGCTGCCGTCTATGGGGTTGCACAGAGCCGGACACGACTGAAGTGACTTAGCAGCAGCAGCAGCAATATGATAAATGACCTCTATAAAAACCCCATAGCTAATGCCATACTCACTGGTGAAACTGAAAGTTCATCCCCTAAGATAAGTAACATGACAAGGATGTTCATCTGGCCATTTCTGCTCAACACTGTGCAGGGAGTTCTGACCATAATAATAACTAGGCAAGAAGAAGAACTAAAACATAGCCAAAGTGAGAAGAATAAAATGAAGCTACAGTAGTGAAAACACTGTGGTACCGGCAGAAAGACGGATATATAGACCAACGAAACAGAATAGAGAGCCTCAAAACAAAGGAAGGACAGTCTTTTCAACAATGGTGCTTCCAAAACTTGTGTGTGTGTGTGTGTGGTGTGTGTTCAGTTGTGTCCAACTCTCTGCGACCCCATGGACTGTGTAGTCCACCAGGCTCCTCTGTCCATGGAATTTTCCAGGCAGGGATACTGGAGTGGGTTGTCATTTCCTGCTCCAGGGGATCTTCCCAACCCAGGGACTGAACCCAGGTCTCCTGCATTGACAGATGGATTCTTTACCACTGAGTCAGCAGGGAAGCTTGATATTGGACGGTATGGGC